GGAAAACTCACTAGACTAAGTCATCCCCTTGCAGTGTGGTCTACTTCCCCCAGTGCGATCCTGTGATATCCCGTGAATCCCAGACTCGGGGTCGCATGGCCTGCGAATCCCAAGGCCACTTCCTCCACCGAGCTGGTCTTACGAGTGCATGGCCCAGTCATCAGGACGATCCTGAAGGACCTTCCCCAACCGAGACCTTGCATGACAGTCAATAGTTCTCATTCCAAAAAAAGAGGAATATGCAAAAACATGACCATCATGATATATCATGATATCATGATTTTGAGTGAGAATATCCGAGATGATCTTGACACCATGAGAATCCATGAGAATCCGTGTTTTCGGACCTACACCAAAGACCGATCCTTCCGGATCGCTCGTGACTGAGCTGTGATCTTGCGCAGACACCTCGACGAGCTTCCCCCACCCGAAGGTTTTGTTCAGCTCCCTGGGATGCAGGGGGCCGGGCCTTGGAGGCTCAAACAATGGAGATCATGGAGAAGAATGATGAGATATGACGGTATGACCGACCCCATTGTCTAATTGTTGTCTACTTCATTGTCATAGACCTTTAACCTCCTTTCGCTCCCCCTGCTTTCGGTCGACATGGGTCTTGGGGTGCCATCCACTTCTGTCGAGGTGGACGAGCCGGAAGGTGACGAAGTGGGGACCATGTCCATCAATGAGGCAGGCGCAATTGGAGTATTTCGTTTGGCCCTGCCAGGGCAACCAGTTCTCTAACAACTGAGTAATTCAGTTCTTGAACTGTCTCATGGCCTTTTTTGTGCACTGGAAAGTGTACTTGCAGACGGCTTGGTCGAGGTTCGATCTCGCTGGTTCTGTGGTTCAGGCCTTCGCGACGCAGGTGGAAGCAGCCGGGGGTGCCCGGGACCGGAAAGCGATCCGGCAACCAGGTCGACCTTTCCAAGAAGAAGGCAGAACCCCAGCTTGGTGCCACTGTTCCACTCCACTCTTCAGTATGGTCTGTAAAGTACCAGGACCATGGTCCGGTGCCAAGAAATTTCTCTCAGTTCATGTCTTGGAGCCTCCCACTTCCTTTGCATGCTGCATGATGTTCTCGCTGAGGTCACGCAGATCGAGAACTTGCTGCCTGAACCGCCGAGAATCAGGCGCCAGCTGGAAAGGATTCAACCCAAATCCCCGATCTGGGCGTGAGGGGAGGGGACTCTTGAGCTTGGCAACAGCTCAAGGACGTGGGGCCTGGAACCAGCTCACATAGACTGGTATTTTCGTGTCCGTGCTTGGCCTGGAAGCAGATGGTTGGAATCTAGAACGATGTGGAATGCGGGAGCCTTTCACTTGGGATCCAAGGTTTGGTGGTCCAAACCAAACGGGGGATGCCTTAAGAGTTGCGATTTCTGTCCCAAATGCACTTCTTAAGAGCAGGACCTGCGTGAGCTTTGGGGTGTAGTTTGTGTGAGCAGCCTTGCATGTCTCACCAACTCGAACAAGATCACCGCATGAGAGAGTATTGAAAAGAAGCCCCATGTAAGACATTCCTTGTTCGCATGTCCGTCTTTTCTGGAAGGTAGAGGGTTTTTGCACAACCTCACATTGTAATCAACATGATATCAACATTTGGAGATGGCTGTCCTGCCCAGGGGCTCCTATGGCGACTGGATGATTTGGATGGCCCAGGGCCCCAGAGACCACGCCTGGAGCGCCTGGCGCGCCGCTGTGGCCAACGCGGCGCCAAACAGAACCGAGGTGCACCGAGCTTGGCTGAACGACCCCAGCTTGGTGGACTTCAACTTTGGAAACATGCGCCTTGGACCAAATCGAACTCACAAGCACGGAGCCTTTTTGTGGGGATTTCATGGGATTTGGGATCCGGGTCGTTCCGGGCAAAGTAGCTTTGGAGTTTGGCTTGCAGGATAACACGCTGCAAGAGAAGCACGGCAAGCATGTGGCATGGCGGGGCCATTTCGGATGAACATGTTCCCGTATTAAAACAACAGGTGTTGCAGGGAGTGTCACCCTCCCCATTGATCACCAGAGTGAAACTGTGAAGTTCGTGATTGGACTGGAGTCCAACACCTGAGAAGCACCGGGCAACGGCATGAAAGATTGAGATGGATCCCAGACACGAGAAATGGGACAGACTGGAAGATTTACTGTACCTAATGTCCAGTGATCCCTGAAAAATCCTAAAGCCACCCCAATGTTCTATGTATGTATATAAATGCCAGTCCCGAGGAGTGTTTGGGGATTGTGACTGGGACACCACTTTAAAATCTCTAAAATTTAAAGAAAACGGCTATGCTTAGCATGTGGTTTGGGCAGATGATTCTGGAAACTCATGAGGCAGTTCATGAAACTTTATTGTGCAGACAACTAGCAATGGCAAAGCTTCAAGAGGCTAGTCTTGGCCAGTCTTGGGGACTTTCAATAGAGCTGCGAGGAAATGGAAGGAGCAGTCCTCTCGCAGGCACATGCACAGCACATGCCTCCTCCGCGTCGGGCAGGCACATGCCTCCAGGGCACATCGAACCCCGCATCGCACCAAAGCTGGTGAATGCGATGGCGAGGCTCGCGGGTCGTGTGAGGCTGTCCTGTCGATGCAGATGGTCAACGGTGACATGAATCAACCACCTCCCTTATGCAGATCGAGAAAGTTCACCCATATTTCCGAAAGCGGGAGTTGATCATTCGCAGGCACTTATATATGATCATATATGCCTACATTGACCCCCAAACCTACCCCAACTGATCGGCATAGATGGCAGTCCCATGGAGTGTCTGGGATGCATCAACCCATTGGAGTTGCCTGGATCCACCGCCGAACTCGGCGGGAACGCTCCGGCCTTCGGACCGCCCCGAGAAACGAGGGGTAACGCCTCGAGGGGTTCCCTGGTCGATGCTTTCACCTGAGCTCCAGTGCTTCTACAGTTGGTTCTTCTCATTTAGGAACATTTCGTCCAACTCCGAATGCACCGGGTGATCACAGGTTCTGGTTTTTGGATGCATTTTGGGTGCATGTGGTAGTTCTGCAGAAATACCCACCCCCTGCCTGCCCGCAGGAATACTCATATCGAGATCTTGACGCTGTCCAATTCCAATCTGCAGAAGGCGAGACGAAGCTTCGCTTCGGAAGCTTCGCTTCCCGCTGGTTCCGACGAGACTGGTTTTGAAAGGAATTAGTGTGAAGTACTGCAGGATTGGTCTAACCAAACTAGATCTTGTTTTTCCTATTACTGTAACAGTCATGTTTAACATGATCACTATCTTAGAGAAAGGCCTTTACCAATAACGATTGACTTTGATGAGCATTGTTCCAATTTTAAAGGACATCCATCAAAGTAGGTCCTAATTAGGTGTTCCTATAGCTGCTTCAACCCCATTTCTCGGGGTGTTCTTTTCAGAACTTAAGCTTGCTTGCGCATGTCGTGGTGGGTGAACTTTCTCAGGATTGGCCCGGTCCTTGAACAAATGCCAAAGGACAACGTTTGGAATCCAAAATCGATGCCTATGTTTTGGACCTGGAAGCACTTCGTTGACTCTTGGGGGGCCAAATGTCGTCCAAGCTGCCGCAGCTAAACCCTCCGTCCTCCACTTCCGCGCCGATCTGCGTCAAGACCATGGGTCGAGCCCGCACCGTTCCAGTGCACGGGCGGACACACGCGCGCCGAGTTTTGGGGCAAACAGAACAGTGAGAAATAAGAAAAGGATTTAGAAAAGGGATGAACAGGCAATGGAGCAAGAGGAAGCCCTGCAGAAATGGGATACTTATAGAGTTGGGACCCTGGCCTCGGGTCGACCAGCTCAAAACACTGAAACAGAAGGAGAGAGTTCCATGTTGCGCCTGGGGTGTCCCAGTAAACCAGCAAAAGTACTCTTTTAGAGATGGAAGGGCCTGGTCGGCCTGCAACCAGGCGTTACAGGGAATAGGATACACCCAAGGTATTGCTTCAACCATCTTTGAGAATGAGCACCCCAAAACCCCCAAAACCCACCCAGAAGCACGGAAAAAATAAACACATATGGGACTGCGGTGAAATGATCAAGGAATCCAGTAATGTGATATCCGTTCGAATTCTGGTGCACAGGTTATGATCAAAAGTTCTTGGGAAAATAGTGGTCACATGACTTCCTGAGCGAGGGTTTCCCCCTGTCACCCTCCCCAAAACCCGTCGAGGCGCAGGGCTGTGAGCTTGGGACCTCGTTGCGGCAGAACACCACGGTGAAGTCTGTGAATCTCGAGTGTTTTGGTGGCAGCGACGGTGTTCGACGATGCAGCAGTTCGGTGTCACCATGGAAATCATCCAAGTCAACCAGCTTGTTTACTATCCATCCGCCGAACATCGGCGAATGCGAACTTCCAGGTTCGTTCGGTCGATGTTCTCAACTTCAGGGACCTGAACAAAAAGAGAAACCGCTTCGCGCCCAATCTAGGAACAAGAAGCTACGAACGGGGCTCCTGGCGGTACTACTAGGAGCAATGTTCGCTACGAACGGAGCATTTCGGGCATCGCTACTAGCAACCAGGACACTACGAACGGTGCAAGCATCGACTGCGAAGGGCTCGTTCCTCGATCGACGAAGGGCTCGGTTCCGAAGTGAACGAGGAGTAATTGGTTGGATTCCAACGCGGTGCGGGAACTGGCAGTGGCCATTAAGGACTGGCTGGGGCGTTGGAAAACACGGGCGGGTTTGGATCTGCCGAAATCGTTTGAAAACACCCCTTGAAAGGCCCTTTGCCAATGCTTTGCTGCTTACTGCTTGGAGTTTAACTCAGAGCCCTTCATCCACTCATAGCATCACTATGAATCACTTGGAATATCACAAGAAGCGTGGTTCTGCCGAAACCGCTGGCAGATGGATTTCGCGTTGGCTCACCTCCATTACAAACCTCGAACCGAGTGCGGAGTACATGGTCGGCCTATGTCGGCCTTCATTTGTTACAATCAGCGAGGGAACGCGCCGCGCAGGAGAATCCCGACAGTGTCATCGAACATTTGCGATTTTCGCATCAGAAGCAGATGGGGCAGTTCTTTGGCAGGCGCCAAAGACATCACATGTCACAACAATAGAAACATATAAAAACCATGCAACACCATTTGCTTGTTAACTTAAAGATTTGAGAATGGTGAAGTAATTTTACATGTCCTAACGCGATAGTGGGCTTGCTGGCGCCTGGATGGACTGTTGCATTCGTACATCTTCGTGCTTGCTAAATGGGGTATAGCGATATGTATCGATACTTTTTTTTTTTAGATTCTGTGAGTGCTCAGGCATTGGATGTACAACAATATCATAACTCATAGACTTCCCATTCCGTCGACCTGTGCTTTTGTGACGCCCGTCCGCCGGCGTTCAAGACGCTCTTCGCTTCCGTGCCGCCGGCGGGCCTTAACAGACGTCTCGCCGACGAGGCCCACGGAAGAGGCGGTGGGGCAAATGATGTGGAGCAACGAGTCCATCGTCAAGCTGGGCTTCGAGTGCGACGACGCGACGGGCCGCCCCAGTGCGGAGTGGGATTGACGAGCTGCGGTCGGTCCCGGTGGGAACACGGGTCGTCTTTTGGGGCGAAGCAAATGGGATTTGCGGAGAAGAGTGATGGAAGAGAAACAATGATCACCCCGGCTCACATTGGCTCAGCTCATTTTGTTTATTGTAGACTTCGAAGCGAATGGAAGAGTAAAAGGGATTTGTGGTTTGCAGCTCTGGTCCTGTTTGCTTGCACAAGTGAAATTGCAGTTGCTGGCCCTTTTGTGATGGCAACTCTGGTCCTTCAAAGCTGGTCCTACCCAGTTACCCAGTGGCTGAAAACTGGAACTCTGGCGTCCATGCCCAAAAACACATCCCCACCCAAGAGAAGTATATACGTCTTCCGTGTGCAGCCGGTGACGTAGCTCGTCAGGCTTGGAGTGGCTTCACTCAGCTCGGATCGACCCAGGCACTGGCGAAACATCATCGATCGCTCGCTCCTGCGCAACAACGACTTCTTCAGTCGTGGGGCTCAGCGAGCAGCGAGCTAGCGGGATCTAGCGGGTAGTGATGGTTTCATGGTGTTTGAAATCGATGGTTTAGTACACACTTTAGGATGGTTTGTGCCAGTGTCATGAGGATTCTTTAAAATGGGTACCCACAAACTCGTATCATCTCCCATGGTGCGGAGGATATCACGAAAGCTAGCGAAGCTAGCTGGAGTTACTCTTGCGATAGCAAGGTTTCTTTCGACCGGGTGCAAATCCTAACCCCTGATTTTTCAGGTCGAAGACCCCCCCCCCCC